GGAAAATCTGCTTGTGACTTCAAACCATCAATAGCAAGGCTCTCTTTTTTTTTCTTACTCCTAGTAAAAAATGTTTCCAACAGGTTACCCTGCGATTATATTCTGCAGTTCTTGTAATTTCTTATCAATAAATGTAGACAAATTTAGACAAGTAAAACACTTAACAGCTGGGCAAAACCCAACATAAATTATGTTAAGAAAAAGAATGGTAGGTGAAATTCTCACTACCAACCTAAAACGGATTCCACCTTCAGATAACTTGTCACAATGGGCGATAAATCAGATTTTGTAGTCTTTCACTTTGCCCAAAGCTGTTGTTACCTTTTATCACTGATGCCTTGCCCAGTTTCTTCTCTTTTAGATAAACTATTTTCTTTTCTGTTTGATCTAACTCAATTGTTTAACAACGGTTAGTTGTTTTTTTTCTTTACATATTTTTACCGGAATATTCTATTGTTAATGTCCCTGCAGTTCTAATTTTCATGATCTAAGTGTCTAAAATATCAGTCAGAAATTTAATTCTTAACCAAAGCAATGTTTATTGCTCTTCTTCTTGAGGTTAATCTTTGACATAACAAAAAAAAGTTAATCTTTCACATAACAAACAAAAGACCGATCTGTTTTTTGTCTACTTTTTTTTCACACGGTCAAGCCCTACTCCACCCGAATTTATTCCGATAAGAAGTCATACAGAGATCAGATATATAAGTATTTTTGTAAACAAAGTAACCACAAAGGAAAAATTTTATGTCGGCTGAAGAAATAATTTCGCACTTGTTATTTTTGCTTTAACTGGTGAATTTAGTGAGTTGATACAGAGCCATACCAAGTTATTCTAGGTTATTCTAAAGTTAACCTATTAATACCCACTGTTTAAAAAAAAATGGGACTATGGAGTATAAGTAGATTGTTATAGTGGAACACACCTATTCTATAGTTAATAGACTCTCCCACCTATAATAAGTAGTAGTAAGAGTCGCTCAGTGAGACGATGCCGGACGACAGTTAGTCGAATACTGAAGTATCAGCGACCACAGCTAGATTTCTTTGCGTTATACCTATTATATCAAGTTCCTAACGTTTTGTACGTCGAACCTATTTTAGGACCGACTTAGTACAAATACAAGCCTCCACTGTGAAATCACTCCACAACATAGATACATAATTAATACCGGATTTAATTTTTATTTTAGTCTTTTTTTATATTAGAAACGTATAACTGATGCCGAATAATATTGTGGGCATTAATGGGTTAATATTTAGGTCCCCCTCTACACATTTAATGATTCAATTTTTATTTTTATTTTTTTCGTTTTCCAGTACTCGTGAAATGCAACACCAATCCCTCTCTTATTTTCTTCCCGATTTTATATCGCAAGAACACTTTATCTCTTAACAACCACTATTGGCGTTCGACCTGAACCACATGGATATTTTACCGCCTACCTCACCAGTTTCATAAACTTGATAAAGTAGAAGTTCAACAACTGAACTGTATGCAACTTCTACTTTCAACTAGTTTTCTTTATGCAATAAAGTGTCTGTAGACGACATGCACAGACTTCAAGCAAGTTTTTCTAGTGCGGTTGTGTCAGTGAGTTACTTTTACGTTAACTGCATGTCATTTACACACAATATTAGTAGTCATCTTTTAATTTGTGATATTGGATTTTACTGTAAGGAATGCCTGTATTTGTGATTTTCTGTTAGCTCTGTCTTTTGTTGTCTTGTTTTTGCAAGCTCAAAACTGTTTAATTGAATATTTTAAAACTTGTTTTTGTGTCTTAGGAATCTTGGAATTTTAGAAGTCTAAGCTGCGTCGTGATAAAGTTGAAGCTGTGATAGAAGTATAATTATATGTTCCACTTTTAGTGTATGAAAAATAAAAACTTGGTTGAAAAAAAGTAAAAATAAGTTTATGAAAACTAATCTAAATCATTAATCAGACTGACTTCAGAATCAGCATTTACAAGAGATTGGAAAGGAAAATGTGAAAAAAATATAAATAGTCTCGGTTTCAATTAAGAAAAAGCATTAGACTTGCTAAAGCCAACATTAATTGTATAGCTGATTGAAAATTATCTATTGTGGTGAAAAACTGATCTTGTATATTAACTAAAGATACGTACAATGGTTGAATGCGGAGGGGCTGTTGAAACAGCAGAAGCAAAACTGGTTTATAGTTATGAGTTCATTCTTCACTGGGTTTTCCATACTTTGTTCCTGTGTCCAAATTAAGCTAAGCTTTGTTAATATCCAATGACTTCTCGTAGAATAAATTTGTTTTGATACACCATTGCACTAAAACATGAAGAGTTGGGGATACACCCAGATGTCTGTAGACAAGAATGAAAAATCAGTGGTAAAACAAGTGCTAAATAATGCATTCAAAGTTGAAGAAAAACCTAACTAATATTTTAATTGAAGAAATGTTTTTTAACATTTGTTTATTTGAACCGTGGATTATATGTTAAGCAATATAATATTCTTTTTGCCGTTCTCCCCACCACCCACCTGCAGGCGGTTAGTTGATCTAGTTGACAACCTATCAACAGCTGTGGCTAATCTTATTTTCGTTACTTATGTAATCTTGTTTTAAGTCAACCAAGTAAAACACCCAGAAACATTTAAGTTTCTTTAAATAAATAGCCTTGTCACTTTCTGCATATAGAATTATTAGGTTTTGTATTTATGTGCCCGGGATTAGTCTCTTGCGTTTACTATCGTATTAATACCCATTAAAAAGGCATGGATTTTTCTCCCTGTCCTTCCCCAGCTACGTGTTAAATAGAAAAGTATACTGTCAAAAAGGACAACTCTGAAATTTCAAAACGTAGAAAAGGCAAGTGGGAAACGCTACACTGTCTTTCCCACTAATGTATGGCAATTGACAGATAATAAAGGAATCTGTTGAGTCACGATCTCTTACGTCCTTTTTATTTGTGTCAATCTTGGGTGAAGCACATGGACAGAGGTTGCTTGATAGACTAAATAATCACCTTCAACTTGCACTACTGATCAATGCTCAAGACCTGGTAACTGTTCGCAACGCAATTTTCCTAAACTTGAAATGGTTGTGTGCGCGCGCCTTGATAAGGCTGCAGGCGATGCTTAGCTTCTTACTTCCTCACTAGTCAGTTGTTGGTATGTGGCTATTTCAGCCATGAGGCAAGTCCACAGATTATTTATTTACTGGGGCACCTAAGTGAAACCGAAAGTCGATCTCATCACGCTTATGAACTTGTCTACAAGACAAGCTTTCTAACGACTTGATACAGTAGTCGCCCAATAATAGAACTTTAGAAATTTTATTTATTTTAAACTACTTACTAGAAGTATCTGTCTATATTTAAGAAAATTAAGGAATCAGCACATATGTTAGGCCACAAAAATCTCCTGAGCCGACCAAGCATAGAAAAGAATACAATATGGGAACCAGTAATAAGGAGTGACAGAGAAAAGCGATAACAACGAAAATTGCAATAAGAGCTCTGGTAAAAAAAAAAAACAACATGCAATGATAACAGCAAAAATTGCAATATGAGCACTGGTAAGAAATCGTTGCTGAAGACATTGTCACAGAAATTCACACACAGATGTCCTCAAGGACACATGGCACAGTGGATTAGGACGTTAGTTAGATCCAGTGACAGGACCCAAAGAATGAGTTCAATACCTGGTTAAGGCGGTGGAGAACTTGGAGAGGAAAATTAACAGGAGATAACTGATAACTGAGGTCCATTAGATGTCGAGCGAAATAAAGGGTTCAGTTCGATATTTCAACCACCTGAAGAAGGCCGGAGTGATAAATATGGCAACAAAGATGAGGACAGTAGTCCGAATAATGTAAATAGTGTACTTATTAGAAGTTTGATGAATTTGTTTCGTGGATCGCTGACTCTAATCAATCTTACATTATCATATCACTGAAATTCATTTACATTGCATTTTATCCAACAAGGAATGAAGATGACCCGTAGTTGGCTCAATGGAGAGAAAATCTGAACTGCAAATTTTATCTATGATTAGAACTTTTTTTTTATCTTGAGTGTCGCTCGTTCATGGGCGCTTTGGTTTCCATTTTGGGAAAACAGCCCAAGCACCATTAAATCATACATCTGCACTTTCTCACCACGTGAGGAAATGTCATAAGTCATTTCCATGTCAGACACCTGCACTTCCTCGCCGCATCAGTCATATCATTACATCATGTGTACACGTGTGAATGGGGGGGGGGATTTAACTAACATTGGCTAATACGGTTAGTTGAGAAAACCGATCATATTTGAAAAACAACCGGAATTTGCATTCGGCAAATAACGTTTTGATATCAACTGTTATTATAACGCCGTCCGGTCAGTCGATGAGCTAAAGGGCTCACTGAATATCCGATAATGGCCGTCAATATCGGATTTCTTCTATCAATCGTTGGTTCCACTGTCATCTACAGTTGTCAAAAAGTCCGGTCGAATGCCCACGTTGTGACTGATCTCAAACGACTAGAAATCTGCTGCAGGAGTTGTTATATCACGGCTAACGGTTATATAACGAGGGAGACGACAACTCTTAAAAAACCGCTGGAGTGATGGACGATTATACCGTAAGACTTGGGCTCTTAGTTGCTCACTCTGGGCGTCTAATTGTAGGTTTTTGATTGGTACACGCTCATGGGTTTAGGCACTTTCTGATTCAAATCGAAGTGATAACTTTTTCTCTGTGTTCTTCTGTGAACTTTGCTGAACTACTCTGGAGTCTGATGGTCTGTTCTGCTCTACCTGCGGCTCTGTTCTTCTCGAAAGCCTCAAAGTGTCCGGTTTAAATAATACTTTACCCAAAACTGGGCAATGGTCTGACTAGCATAGAAATATCAACATTCTTTTGTCTCGACAGGGATTTTTCAATTTTGGGCAATTATCCAGGCCCTTAGTGGCAGTTATAGGTTTAATCCACCCATCCAACTTCAACTTGCCTTCTCCGGCATCTCTGACTTCCACTTATAGCTGCCACCTCCTCTTCTTCCTCCAACTTCCTTAGAAACAACCTGTTACTACTCTCTTTGGTGTGTCACTTGATCCGGTTGACCAATCATTTCTAGGGACCGTAACAAGGGGCGGTCTGAACCTTAATTAGCTGGACACCGCCAAAAGCATCAAGAAATGGCTGTGTTTTATTTTATGGAGAAATCAAATCTACAGAAAAAAGATAAAAAAATATTTAATTCTTTTCTTTCAGGCTGCATGAGGCGCTTCCTCTAATCATTATCTTTAAGTGAAAAATTATCCAAATCAGCGTCCTGTTTTAAGCCTGAACGAAGATGTTTTATGAATCTCGACCAGTAGGTTTAAGTGTGTCCAGCCTGGAACACTCCAGTCAAGATTTAAATGTTATCTCAACCCAAGATAAGCGCTTTCTGGGTCAGCCCATCCGCCTGTAGCCGATAATGTCACATCACCAGCAATGATGAAATCAAACTTTGTCGTTATCATTCCATTTGATATTGATGACTTGATCTTCATCTGGTTTCTATGCAACTCTTATTCACTCGTTTTCATCTTCATCCCTTAAAGGGCTCTCTAGATGTTGTCTTGACAAGTAGTTTATCCTTATGGACTATAAAGATTTTCTGCAGATGAAAAACCAAAGATCAAATTGTGGCACTCGATGCTACTGTAACTTTCTAGAGAAAAAGATTGAGTCCTCCAAACTGATAGAAAAAAAAAAATTCCTAATATAGTTCTGAGAGTTTATAACAAAGTTCATTCGGAATTTCTCCACTTGTTAACTATTTTTGCTGAAGTCTGTTGTAGAGAGCCAGACTTTGAGTAGGTTCGAATAATGGCAATCCAGTAATTATTCTAGTAGAGACCAGTTTGACCATTGCATTGTGCTTCTGGCAAAGTTTAACATACGTACCCGTAAAAATAACGTTTTTTTATTATTAAAATTCGGAAAATAACTTTTAAAAGAATAAAAAATTGCCGGGGGAGTATACAGTTATAATGATGTAAATAGAAAAACCATCCTTTTCAGACATGATTTTTTTTTTTTTTTTTTTTTTAAGTAGGGGAGGGATCAGCCATGTTTGTTAAACTTTGCTGTGCTTCTCTGCGTTAAATTGCCTTTCGCTATTTCGACTAATATCACAGTTATTGTGGTGGCAATTTGACATTTTTAGATTTTACAAATACTTTTTCTGGGTTGCAATGTTTGTTTTGTTTGTTTTTTTTTTTTTTTTTTTTTTGAGATTATAAAGTAGAGAAAGTAAACTATGGAACGAAGTCAATAAATGGCTTGTAAATTTGAATGCCTCCAAAATAAAACCGCTGTATTAGTCGTTTATTTCCCTCAATTAGCATGTCTCGTGCCAAGCAATTCTTTTTGGTATGATGTTGCGACGTTCGTCCAGCCGGTGCGTTCGATGTTTGATTCCCGCGGCTGACTGTTAAATGGATCACTTCGATCAAAGCCCTACCTTGTCCCACCTTGTGTTTGATTTAGATCACAAGGCTGGCGAGGATCAAATTGACGACAGGAATCATTGAATTGGTCTGGTCCGGACAAAGTGAAGCCACAATTTATAGGATAAATTGTAATAAAGAAAATGTTTTATGTACCGTTTCTTGTACAGAGCTGATGGTAAAATATCAGCTCCTCTAGTAATTATGTTCTTCATGCAGGAATATATTTGTCATGCGAAGTTATTCGACCATTTCCTTCGAATATTTTGTGACACTTTGAGTCTAGACAAGGCTTCTGGAAGACAGCGCAAAGTCGGGGGTCTTCTTCAACGGCAGGAAGTCACGTGTGAGTTCAGTGAAGTGGTCATCTCTAGCCTGGTGTCTGGTAGCTTCTCTCTCTGGTTGTCGCTTCGGTCTTCTGTTTATATGGACCTTCGTTCAAAACTGGCATGGGGTCTGATATGGCTTGGGATTTCGGTGATTCCCCTAATTTCCACACAGTTCTTTGTTTGACTCTGGGAAATTAATCTAATGTCCAGTTTTGGAGAGATCCCTCCTCCGAGGACTAGTGGTAGCAGAATATCGATCCACTCTGATTCCTTTCTTCTCGTATTTGTGTCTCATACTAATACTGTCCAAGGGGTGTAGGCAATTCCTTCGCCTCCTTTGGTGTTCTAGGCCTTTCACTTCTCGGGTCACCTGAACAATCCGATCTCTAGACTGCACGGGCAAGGAAGCGTGGCTTAGCTCCACTCATTAATTTTAATTATCATTTAAAACTTTCGTCAAGGGAATTCCTCAACGCTTTCCGCCTCTCCAACTAGACACTTAGCAGTCGCTCTCTTGACAGCATCCTCTTTTGAAAATTTGTCTCTTATCTAAAGAAATTTCAGCTCTTCAGCGATTCACACCTTCCCTTCCATTTTTTTTTTTTTTTTTTTTTTGACTAGTGATAAAAAAAAAAAAAATCTCCAACTTTGCCTTTGTTTCTGGAAAACCTTAAATTTTATCTCCCGACCATTTTTTCTTCTTCTTATGGCCAACGGATAATTCTATAACCTAAAATTTAAAAGCAATTGTTTCCTTTTTAGCTTGTACATCGCCTCTTTCCTTCTCTTTTGACAAATGATAAAAGAAAAACAATTCTTTAATTATGCTTTTGTTTCCAGAACACCTTCATTTTTATTAAGATCCACTTTTCTTACAAGGTAGATAATTCCATATGCTGGATTTTAAATATAATAGTGTCTCTATTTCATAGTTGTGAACTTCGACTATATATTTTTTGTAGGAAATATCAGATGATATGAAGAAAAGATAAAAATAAACCCTCTGAATTTACTGATAATCTGGTCTCCTCTCTCAGTATAGCTATCGAGCTATCCTTTCAACCCTTAGTGTTACCTCGCTAGAATCCATTTTATATATTTATAAGTTTACCACTCGTCCCTGAAGTGAATATTGCTGTCGTATCTGATCTGGTGTCACCGGTAAGATCTCAGAATGATGCACTAAGAAAACCCCCATCTACAATTATTAATAGCAGTCAGGAGGAGAATTGAAGAGATCAGAAACCAAAGACGAACAAAAGACCGCAAAATACTAAAATAACATTCTGCTACCTAGACGATGCATGTTTGTGTAATATTCCCCGTCAATAGAGTATTGTTGGATTTTAGGAATTGGTCGTTTGTCTTGAAGAGATCTTCCGCCTAGCTTTGACTTTGAGGACAACTTTTAAGATCATGTGAGAAGCCAGTTACCACTTTTCCTGAAGGAAGTTAATGACCCCTTCGTGGAGGACGCAACGAACCACTAGGCGATTGCCGTAAAAATGATTCATTTCGGACATCATGAGACTGACCAGAACAACCGACAAAGACATACTTATATTTGACTTGCCGAGCATACCGGATGTGAAAACAACCGTCTATGACTGCCCCTCCCCCCTCTAACACTTTCGCCCTAGCCCCTCAACCTCCGACGTCTTACTCTCTGGGTTGAGGTGTCTACTCGGTCCTAACCGAACTTAAGGGAGTGGCCGTAGGTCCCCTGAATATCAGTAGATTATTCGACCGGTCCACTGGTTTAATCCTGCTTCCTGCCCACGTTGTGTTTAGTTTGATCCAGAAAGCAGAAGTGATGGTCATCCATTCACGGCCGGTTGAAGATGTAGACATGGCTGGAGAGTCTGCGCTAAGAAATTTAGAATGCAGCAAAAAAAAAAAAATCTACACAAAGCCGGACAAACAACTATTCAATGATTGAATTGTTAATGTCTTTTATATAGCAGAAAAGAATAGTATAGAAAAGAAACGGGTTACAGAAAAGAAAAGTAATTGACGCAGAGAGGCATACACTGGATTCTGGACAGTGTGTGTGTGTGTATTATGATTAACTTGTTAAATCGTCTCAGAACGATATACGACTCTTGCGATGGGGGAATAAGATTTCTGTGCGCAGCTTAAGGTTTATAGTGGCGTTCCTCCTTAGCAGTAGTAACAGTAGTAGTAATATTCGTGGTAGCGATCAGCAGCACATGTTAGCGGACGCTTCGTTCCAATCTCTGACGTCACGTTCTCTCCTCCTTGAGTCTCCAACACGTCTCTCCACTGTCTCTAGCCCAACTCTTGCCCGGGCTAATTCTCTTCTGTCTCTCTCTTCCGTCTCAACGCTCGCCCGTCTCTACTTTGTTCAGCATTACTACGCGTTTATATAGAAAAATCCGGCTGGTTACAACTGAACCTTGGCCGCACGTGATTATCACAGGGTTTTGACTGTTTCAACCTAAATCATGTGAATTCTAAAGTTCCTTCTAGCTTACTCAGCTCTATTTCAATTTTTAATCGATAAAAATTATTTCGACCATTTCTATTGTCTCCTGATGACCCAGATTCAATGGGTACAACTTCCGCCCTAGATCAAATTTCCACATCACTAAACAAAAATGCTCTGATTTAATTTCGCTATTCAAACCTTCTCCATTTCACTAAAAAAAATTTTTTAAATGTGTTTGTGTGTTTTTTTTTTTTTTTTTTTTTTTTTTTGTTTGTTTGTTTTTCAGGCTCTCTCTCTCCGTCACACCCGCACGGCTCACATCTGGTAGCCAGAGGGTTTGGTCGACATCTGTTTACGTTTGATTCCATGAGCAGGTTTCGTGTCCACTCAAGAGTTTGTTTATAACTTCCATGTGCCTTTTTCTGTTTTTATATAATTTTCATGGCAAACGTACTGATGCGCTTTCTTTGATACATCGACTTACTAGATTGGCAGCTAGGTCTTGTTTTCTTTCCCTGTTGAAATAACCAAATGTAATTATAGGTTCTACTCTAAGAGCACTTATTGTGACCGTCCCACGGCGTTGGATCGGCCTTCCGGGAACCAGACCACGAAGGTCCCTCGTCCCGGAACCAATTCTTCGTCGACAGCGACGAGGCTGGTAGCTAGAAGCCGGTCTCTGAATCGACTCCACCCACAGTGAACTCCCTTGCCCACGCTGTGAATTTGATCTCAAGGAAGCCACGTGGGTTTTCGCCAGGTGTCTCTCCGCCAAGTCGAACCAATCCGGACGCGGACGCACAATTGGTTAAATGAAACGGCACCAAGTATAAACAGAACAACGCCTGAGTAAGTTGTAGAAAAGAAAGTCTTTATATGCAGAAGATTTCGGAGTACAATCACCAATTGTTTTCTTCCCAACCCCTGTTCCTAACAAGCTGACCACGGAACGGAAGTCTCGACTAATATCTTTAAGGGGTGATTTTCAAGTTTTCTTGTTGGTGAAGATTACGCAGCACACTTTCCATAACTGTGATAAACTCGTCTCTTTCTTACGGGCACTTATCGGATCTCGGGCAGGAAAAGAAAAAAAAGAACTCCTTCAACGAAATGCACAACACTGTTGATAACTTTAACGACAGTTTTATTAAATATAAAGATAATTGGTTATATAAAATGCAAATCAAAATACTGCGGGAATGGTCGTTTGGAGATTCTGGTGGCACGTATTAAAGTGATGCCCAGTCAACTCTTCGGTTATGCGTTGGAAATTTCTGTTTATAACCGCTCAGGTAATGGCCCACTCGTCGACGTTTCACAATTCTTCTGTCATAGGAAATTTATATTCATAATCATTCATTTAATGATCCTCTCATCGACGTTTCGCAATTTTTCTGTCATAGGTGTGTGTCTGTGTTTTCTTACTGGCCTGGCGGGTGTGCTCTTTAGCGCCGACTTTAGCAATTCCGTGTCCATGGTAATGCGGGACATCTCCCCACGTCTGATGTCCACCTCACGTCCAGGGAAGAAAAGTACTCTTGGCGAAAGTGCACTCTGCTCATATATATATATATATATATATATATATATATATATATATATATATATATATATAGGAATCCTGATAACGATAAATGATTTTCTTTACCTACACAAAGACAGCAGACAATGGCACTTCCCAATACCCGAATTCCACTATCTCCATTTTCCGTAAGCCAAAGTCTGGCTTGTCTCATTCGTGCAAAAAATCCTAAATAATGTAAGCCTTCAAAATTTAACAAATGTCACAAAGAAAAAAATAAAATAAACGAACCCATCCCCAATCTAAGGCGCTAATCTTTATTTTTGTAGGGACATTTTTTTTGGTTGGCCGACACAACCTCTCTACATAGACCAGATGTTTTCCTGGCTTTTTGTCCCAAACAATTTAGATGTTATTTCAGTGACCACCCATTTTCCTTACCGATAAGGTATTGTAAACGACGTTTGTTTTCCCAAGACTGACATCTCCGACGATACATTAATGGTCTCTTTCTTATCGGCGATAAGTGGGGCAGGATTAGAAGTTTTACCCAATCTTACTGAATTCCGTTTAATTAAATTTGGGTTCGATTCTCCTCGGAACTGTTCTTGATTTTATTTTATTATTTTAAAACATAATTTTTAACGTATTTCGTTTTTAATTTCCTTAACTATTCAATCCACTTTCTTGAGACTTTGAACAAACATTATCCAGTTATTAGACTCTCCAAATCACCAACCTGCAATTTCATGCATTTAAAAGTTCTACCAGGGCCAGTGCCCTGTTACATCCCACTCCTTCATACACAATAACAGTGCACATTCCTTTTCACTCTGTTCTATTGAACAGTAAGATATTCTTGACTTCATTACTGTTAAGTGGTCATCAAAGAGCGTGGTTCATGTTGGCCACATTCTCTCTAAATGCTCATTCCATGAGTCTTTCCTAAAACAAAATAATACTTTTCTTTTCTTCATTAAAAATATACTTATTTTCTAATTCATGCAATTCTATATTAGAAGTTTGACTGCAGGTGGTCGTTTCACTGGTAATTCCACGGGTGGGTCCATCACTAACTCTCCACCCTCTTCAGCATGTAAGGAAGTCGCCACCATCCTCAGTCGCTTCCCATTCATGACGCCATGCACGGTTCTCTTCATTCTGTTTTGATATTTCGTTTTTTTTTTTTTTTTTTTTTTCTGTTACATTTAATCATTAAAACTGTCGCAGCTACTACAATTACACTAACAGTTCCCAACAAGGATGACCACACTACCGGGCCATTACTCAGACTATCCCTCTGATATAGTTCTTAATTTATCCGCTAATTTTTGTAGAATAATTTTTTTTTTCTGGGGCCTAATATTTGAGGAATCTTGAAGGTCCTAACACTAGGAAACTCTCCAATCAGTGGATCCCACAAGCTGACCCAATTATTAGTCGACACCTGCCAGAGATAGAAGAGTCCCTAGTCTGATACCTTCTCCGCTTGTTAATAAGGTGGCAAGGCCAATGATTCTGCAAATTCGGAACTTTCCATATAGACTAATGGCCACTGAAAGTTGTTCTATCAAGATTTTTGCTTGTCCTTTCCCCTCTCGCAGACCCTAGATAATTCCATTTTCTTCGCCAGCACCACTGCACATATTCCATTTGATAAGTTCATCTCTTGTATCATCTCCCTAGTCATCACCTCTGGCAATTTCTTTTCACTGCTTCTGTATCTCCCTTAAACAACCCAAATATGCATAACTTACGTCTATTTCTCACATAAATTGGGCTCCTAGACTGACATGTTCCTAGGACATTTGCTTCACATCCGTTAGGTGTTAATGGTATGAATCTAGTTATAGTGAAAGCTATGTTCTCAGTCTGTAGCCTATATATGGCCACTGCTCCTCCCTTCCCATCTATCTCTGGATAAGGAATGGGTAGGTTGACTACTTTGAATACTTTAACGGTGGTCTTGTTGTCACTAACGTTGTGAAGAACAATATCATTCTTAATCGAGGTATCCCGCAAAAACAGCAATAGTGCCATCAGTCCAGAGTGATTTTTGCAGGCGCCTCTGCGTCCACCATTCCTAGATTACATAATTCCACTCCAGCTTTAAAATGACCGGAGAGACCATCCACCGAATCCCGCGCTGATGCACACCTGGGAGTGTGCACTCGCTCAGGAAATATGAAAAGTCCAGACTCAACGGGAATAAATCCTCCACTGTCACTACATTTACTATCTCCGCACGAACTCCTCTCTCAAGAACTATTAACCATAAGAGGCTTCCATAACTCGCCTTCTTTGAAATAATCTCGGCGTTTATCAATCCCATTGTTAAGGGTAATTGCTCCCCTTCCTTTTTTCATTCTGACGTTCACTTTTCACGTTTACTTCTGCTAACAGTATCTTATTATCCAAACGATCATTAACCTTCTTATTGCTTAATTAGCGTCACATTCTCCTGTCTGAGAGTAAGGAATAACCTCAAATAACTTCCCTCATCTATACATGGGTGGCTAATTTCTATCTTCTCACCCGTACTTCGTGCCTGCTAGAAATCGCTTCCCAACTTCTTCAATAACACTTCATAAGCTTTTAAATCAATCACAAAAGTGATCCTCCACTTAGATCTGGCGATATTTACTTTGCTAGCCCTCTTAATTATAGAGTTCTGCGCATGTTCCAGCGCTTCTGTTTTAAGTAAACGTTAAGCATTACCTTTAGAAAAATTCTTAATCTTCAATTTAGGTACTGCCAAATAAATGCGATAAAGTTTTTAAAATGAACCTAAAAAATTGAATTTTTTTTCCCTGAAGCTTTTACTTCAGCTCCAATTTAATATTGTATTTCCATGAAATACCTAAAATGCAACTATAATGCTAGCATGAGTATCATTCACTAAAATTTACCTGTCACTATAATATCTATTCATCTCTTCCTAGAATCTTTGCACTCCAACATTTCCTTTCAAATACATTTTTGGTATTTACAGTGTCATCGCTCGTGTTCTTTTTTTTTATTCCTTTTTCCACGAGAACACAATAAAAGTAATTGTTTCCATTAGCATCTTTAACTATCAATATGACCTTGGACGATTTTCTTCCCTTCAATATGCACTCTCAATCGTTTTCGTCACTCTCTGTCACTTTAATTCATGGCTCATTCATCAGAGCCAGACAATCCACTTCACTCGTAATAAGCCACTATTACCAAAATGTACCTCATATTGATTCCATATATGTTTCTGTAATCGTCCTTAATTATTAATTCTTTCGTATAAGACACTGCAGTTCAGTACAACCTGGTACTTCCAGTAATTCTTTATCATCAATTTTTCACATCAATTAAAACCAATATTTCCACGTCCCACTGGAGAGATCTTCTGCTAGTCATTTACTACTATTTCCTTTCTTGTCTCAAAAACACCTCGCATCGTGGCGATTTTACAGATACACCATCTCGACACACTATGACAACCCACCAAATTATCTGTCCAGTATTCCCTGTCGATGTTCAGCCACCCAGTAATGGGTGGTCCACGACTATTATTAATCCAATTTTCAAAACCGAATTTTTCCGTCTGGTCAAATTTGGGTTCGTTTCTCCTTGGAACTGGTCTTCATTCTATTTTATTATTTTAAAACAATTTTTAACGCATTTGGTTTTTAATTTCCTTCTCAACTACCCAATCTACTTTCCTGAGAATTTCAACAATTATAATCAAGTTAGTGGTCTCTCCAAATCACCAACCTGCAATTTCATGCACTTAAAAGTTCAAACAGGGCCAATGCCTTTTTACACTAAAAGGATACGGCTCGCAGAATACAGGATGATTGTATCACTACCTGAGTATTATATCCCATCCCGGTTTGTCGTCAAAAGGGCATACCTCGGAAAAATAACTAATTTTAGTGTGCTAACTCTTATAATATAAGTAAGCTTGTCTTAGGTAACGCTGAAAAAGTGGTAAACCCTGGAGAAAAAAGGTCCCCAAATTGATAAAAAAAAAATTTTAACGTGTAAATGTTTGTTAAAATTAAAGAGGGAAGACCAAAGTATTTTTTGAATATTTTTTCAGATTTTTTAATCCTTCCTATAAATTTTATTTAAAAATCTTGTTTTTCTCGAATCAAAAGAAATTTCATAAATTCGATCTTAACAGGCATTTCTGCCCGAGTTTGTAAACAAAAATTAAAATTAGTTCAAAAATCATGTAAAATTCAGTTACACATTTTTCTTTTGTTATCTTAGGAAATTTAGAATGATTAAAGTATACTTAATGTAATTTGAAAGAAACATTACTTACTTTTTTAGCAGAATTTTTTTTTTAATAGAGATATTTCCCACCGTGGTGCTTGCCTAGGTGCGTGATTGGGAGGTGTTAATTGATATACATGTCAATATTGACAACTTACGTCAAGGGAATTTATCGTACGGTAGCGCAGAAGTGATGTAATTCGTTCTAATTTTAAGTGAACCTGGTTAGTAAATTAAAAAAAAAAATTCACTTTTAAATATTTTTAACCTTCCGTTTGAGGAAAAATTTCTGAAGTAAAAAGAACTTGCTTCTAACAAGAGAAACAAGTCTACCTCATGTGACATTATTTCAAAGCTGTGCATCCATACTTTCGTTGGAGACGATTTTAAATACAATTTTGGAATATTAAAAAATTATTTTAAAAATATCAACGGTTGTCAGATTTTAATAAGCTTTCAAATTTATGATCTTTAAAAAGTAGAGAACATAATGTCATTTCCATAAGGTTGAATAAAGAAACTTAATTTTAAAATATATAACAACATTTTGTCATTGTGTATTTAAAATAGAAAAAAAAGAAAATTATTGTAAAAATTCATTTTTCATCAAATTTTTTTTTTTTTTTTTTCAGATAAGAATTACCTTAGTATATGTTATTCAGAAAAGTCATAAAAAGTTTTTAAATTAAATATTCTCAGTTTTATTGGGTTTTGTATTTCTACAATTGAGTTTGGACAATTTTGCACATTTTTTTTTACCAAAAACATCGATGATTTAGAATCTTCAGAGTCTTGTGCATTTAATTGAAAAAACAAATTCAAGATTTGAAAATAAATTTTTGAAGTTTTCATAAAATTAAGTTCGAGGGGTGTAACAGATATAAAAAAAATATATTTATACCATGACTTTCAAAAAGACAAACATTTCTAAAATAATTTCATTCATTTGTGAATAAGTTCTGAAAGTTTCATTAAAATCCAACAAGTACTTGATTTTTGCAAGATTTTCCAAATCAATGTGTTTTTTTTTTTTTTTTTTTTTTCTGAAAACAGGGAAAAACAAGTAATGTTAATATTACCTAATTTTTGACCTAAAAAAAAAAAAATTTCAACCTAAATTTAAAAAATGCTGCAAATGAAAAGAAATTTTTTTTAAATAATTAAAAAATACCTCTTTAATTTTAACATAAACATTTACACGTTACAATTTTTTTTATCAATTTGGGGACCTTTTTTCTCCAGGGTATACCACTTTTTTAGCGTTACCTGGGACAACCCTATGCTTGAGTAACCTGGGCACCTTACTAATATAAATTCTCCAATAGCGAAAGTGACCCGAAATTTCACAGTAAGCTCGTTGTTATAAAAATGTCTGCTTAGTTCATCTTCTATCGGCCTGAGTAGATGAAAGTTGAAAGGCACCGATGACCGTATAATGATAGTTCAGCCAACATTTGTAACATGTATTGCAAGCGAAAGGAGTGTCTTCCCTGATGTAAATGTGGATATTTAGGGCTCCAGCACAATTGGCATCGCAACGTAACGTCCACAATTGATGGTTTGTCCAGATTCGAATAAATCCAGGAGGATCATGTCTTTGCTATTGTAATAGACAATGCTGCAACTTTATGCACTGTCGTTTTGATTATACGTTTCTTCGTCATCGCTGATGGAGTCCAAGAAAATGTTGCTATTGGTCCTGACTGATTTATATTCGATGTTCTTTTGCGTGCATCCGCGAGCTATTATTCGTCCGAGCTAGCTCGGACACTCATGAGCACGCTGCATCAAGGTTGGGTAGCATTCTATGTCCTAATACCGTTGGTCAGTGTAGATGGTTGCTGGGCGGCCAACTCATCTTGCGCCATGACTAAGTGTTCAGAGCAGTAAATCGCTTGCAAATTCTTTTGTTCGCCAGCAGTGTCCTGCAAAGCGCATTCTGCGTTCACGTAAGATTTTAGAAATATCAGGAATAAAGCTGTGATTTATTTATCTCCAAGGTATGTTAAGAGTAGCACTCAACATCCGTGTGTTGGTTCCATCAGGCATAGACTGAAGGGTTTAATGTTAACTCGAGGGTTTAAGTTAATGTCCAAGCAGTGACCTCCGCTTGAGGTTGATTTCTAGATTGCATTCATTTTGTTCAATGTGGTCCAGACTATGCGAATTTTCCCAACCTTTTCAGTAAAATATTCCACTTAATGTACGTTTTACTGTGTACCAACAGTCTTTCCAAGTGTTCAAAAGCCGAGATTAACCGTGTACAACCGGCCATTTGCATGGGCAAGTTGACGAAGTGATTTTCGTTTTGTGTGCTTGCAGCTATCCGTTCGGTGCCGCTCGGAACGTTGCTTGTCACATGTCGTTGTTGCTAATGATGAAACGCATTACACACCACCTACCTGTGCTCGCATCCACTTTTTGTTCTCCGAAAACATTGGCAGAAAAACTCAAGCTCTACTGTTGTATCACCGACACTCACATCTAACGTTGTGTGACTAATATAAATAAGTGGTATTTCTTTGGGAGCGGCCATTCTAGATTCCACACGATTTTAACGTTGATTATATATTGTGCAGGCTAGACAAGTTCAAAATAATAATTATAAAAAAAATCCATTGGGCGTTGTATCTTGACAGTTACGGATTGTCTTTGTCTAAATTTTGATAAAACACTGAAAAAAAAAAAAAAAAAAAAAAAACGCGGGGACCGACGGTGGCAGTAAATAGTCGAGAATTTTGATACTTGTCCGAGCTTTCCTCTCTCAGATTACTTTGTTTCTATCAGCAGATTTTTCTCTCCCTCCCTTACGATCTCTTTTTTTTCTTCTCCACTTTACGAATTTCTCTTTTTTCTTTCTCTCGCTTACGCTCCTAATTTTTCACTCTTATTTTCTCTCTCTCTCGCTATTCATTTTCTCTTTTCTTTTTCCTTCTTTATTTTTCTGCTCGCCGTCTCTATTTTACGCTTCTTTTTTATTTTCTCTCTCTCGCTCTTTTTCTCTCTTTATATTTCTCTCTTTTCCTTTTCCTAATCTCTGTCTTCTGCTCGTTTTATCTCTGTCTTCTGCTCGTTTTTATCTCTGTCTTCTGCTCGTTTTATCTCTTTCTATCTCTGTCTTCTGTCTTCTGCTCGTTTTATCTCTGTCTTCTGCTCGTTTTATCTCTGTCTTCTGCTCGTTTTATCTCTGTCTTCTGCTCGTTTTATCTCTGTCTTCTGCTCGTTTTATCTCTGTCTTCTGCTCGTTTTTTATCTCTGTCTTCTGCTCGTTTTATCTCTCTTCTGCTCTTCTGTCTTCTGCTCGTTTTATCTGTCTTCTGCTCGTTTTATCTCTGTCTTCTGCTCGTTTTATCTCTGTCTTCTGCTCGTTTTATCTCTGTCTTCTGCTCGTTTTATCTCTGTCTTCTGCTCATTTTATCTCTGTCTTCTGTTTTTATCTCTGTCTTCTGCTCGTTTTATCTCTGTCTTCTGCTCGTTTTATCTCTGTCTTCTGCTCGTTTTATCTCTGTCTTCTGCTCGTTTTATTTTATCTCTGTCTTCTGCTCGTTTTATCTCTGTCTTCTGCTCGTTTTATCTCTGTCTTCTGCTCTCTGTCTTCTGCTTTTTCTCTCTTCTGTCTTTTATCTCTGTCTTCTGCTCGTTTATCTCTGTCTTCTGCTCGTTTTATCTCTGTCTTCTGCTCGTTTTCTATCTCTTCTACTCTTTTATCTCTGTCTTCTCGTTTTCTTCTCTCGTTTTATCTCTGTCTTCTGCTCTGTTTTCGTTTTATCTCTGTCTTCTGCTCGTTTTATCTCTGTCTTCTGCTCTGTCTTCTGCTTTTTATCTCTGTCTTCTGCTCGTTTTATCTCTGTCTTCTGCTCGTTTTTATCTCTGTCTTCTGCTCGTTTTATCTCTGTCTTCTCTCGTTTTATCTCTGTCTTCTGCTCGTTTTATCTCTGTCTTCTGCTCGTTTTATCTCTGTCTTCTGCTCGTTTTATCTCTGTCTTCTGCTCGTTTTGCTCGTTTTATCTCTGTCTTCTGCTCGTTTTATCTCTGTCTTCTGCTCGTTTTATCTCTGTCTTCTGCTCTCTGTCTTCTGCTCGTTTTATCTCTGTCTTCTGCTCGTTTTATCTCTGTCTTCTGCTCGTTTTATCTCTGTCTTCTGCTCTCTGTTTCTGCTTCTTTTATCTCTGTCTTCTGCTCGTTTTATCTCTGTCTTCTGCTCGTTTTATCTCTGTCTTCTGCTCTTTTTTTATCTCTGTCTTCTGCTCGTTTTATCTCTGTCTTCTGCTCGTTTTATCTCTGTCTTCTGCTCGTTTTATCTCTGTCTTCTGCTCGTTTTATCTCTGTCTTCTGCTCGTTTTATCTCTGTCTTCTGCTCGTTTTATCTCTGTCTTCTGCTCGTTTTATCTCTGTCTTCTGCTCGTTTTATCTCTGTCTTCTGCTCGTTTTATCTCTGTCTTCTGCTCGTTTTATCTCTGTCTCTCTTTTAGACATGTCTGAATAAATTACAGACATTGTCTGTTAATTTTTAATAAAATCCATTCATAATCACGAATAACCTTCCATGTATTGATGTTAAAGGATGAGAGAAATATGCTGTAGCTGTTTAAATTTCTTTTCATTTCCCAAGTACTTTTGATCTTTTTCCAAGATCTTCAGGGGTGCAAGTGGTACAAAACTATATGTTGTTCATTAATATAAGTATTTATATAAAGATGTGCGTTATTATCCATTATGGAATTTTTTCTTCTATGTTATAATGTCATGGTGACGCGCGCATTAAAGCATGAAAAAACTGTTCCTTTACAGACATTTCAGAACACTACTGCATTATTCATAGTTGATTCTGTTGTGACACCCACCGGCGGTCGCGGTCCAATATGTGACACCAGCTGGTGTGGTCGCCGCGCCAATATGTGACGTCCACTGATCGCGACGTCAATATATGACACTGCGACGTCGGCCCGTGGTCAACTCCCAGTTTCGGCGCGAAGCTGTAAGGTTTCTTCCACCAGCGTTTTGGGGTTGACTCTTTGTCGCTGCCATCATTAAAGTTAAATGATATCTCTTATAAGATAATTAATATCGATTCACCTCGCCTGTACCGCGGCTTTGTTCGAGCCAAAATGTTTTTATGGCCGCCCTGTGTGACCGGCTCTGCCTCTCTGTCTGAATTGTTTCGTTTGGCGCGTCACTCCCTTATCATGACATTAATCAATTTTGACAGAATCACAATCTCGCTTTTTCTTGCGGATTTTCTGTCTTTTGCGAAAAGTAACTTTTTTTGTAAATAAAATAAATTCTTTTTAATATCGCTCAGTCTATCTTTTGATATAGCTCTTTCTCGCCTTAAGTATTTCCCGTTTTTAATTTCTATGGTTAATTAGTTAGCCAATTACCATAGCTAAATAGTGTCACACTGTTCAGTGCCGGTTTTATTTTTTTTAATATAAATTACTTCTGGTATTTGTAATCTAGATTTGTTATTTTTATGGTGTAGGATAGTTATGTTGTCGATTAGTAATTTTTTATATTGTGAATGCGGTTAGGAATGTTGTTGTAGATGTCTTGCAATAGACGAATGGTCAGACATTTGGAGTGTAAGCCTTGTTATTTGTCGTATACCCAACATATATATTTTTTGTCATTCTCTCAAGGGACATTTAAATTGTTATATAATGTTGGTTTTACGTAATACAGGTTAGTTGGGATTAAATTTGTTGTATTTTTTATAATATGTGATTAATTTAATTTTTATTTAATTAGAATCCTTGGAAGATTTGTTAGTATAAATGAGATTCTTTGATTTTTTTTTCATCCTGTTTGTAGTTAGTATGCATCTACTTACAATATAGTAGTTTGATATATTTAGTGTCCTTTGCGGAAGTACTATATTCTATTTGACGTGTTTTGAGGTTTTTCATATATCGCCTTATCTGTTCATCAATGTGGTTGGGAAGCCATTATTTTGAGTCTGCTTAATATATAACATGGTATACTTTTTTTAGTTAAAAACATAGAAAAAGAAAAATTATTCAAAAAACTCCGTCCTCAAGTTCACATGAACTTAACAAAGATAACAAAATCCCTTTCTTTGACATTTTAACAGACACAAATAACAACATATTTCCTACCTCTCCGTATAAAAAAACTAACCAGCAAAAACTCTTGCACTCTGTTATAAGAGTGAATGTCCAGATTACTACAAAATAGCACTTATACAGAATTTAATTAACCGAACACAAATTCCTCCACAAAAAAGATTTTCTACAATGAACTAAAATATATTAAGCAGACTCTCATTAATAATGACTTCCCAACTCTTGGCAACTCTGATCATGCTGCAGTGTCTGTCAACATCTCCTTCTACTCTACCCCCAGCAACCTCCTACCAACAGAACATCTTTTTTATCAACAAGCTGACTGGGACTCGTTCCGTGATTTCCTTCGCGATGTCACCTGGAATTTAATCTACCCGTTCAAGAATGCGCTTCTGAGGTCTCCTCCTGGGTAAAAGCTGGGTGTATTCAATGAAGCAAAATCACTATTTGCTGATAGAATGAAACGTGTTGCATCTCGCAAATTCGGCTCCAAAGATTATTGGCGTCTCTGCAAGAGCGTACTAAACAGCTAGCTCATAATACCTCCTTTGTTCAACCAATTTTAGGTCCTGACTTCTTCAGCTGATAAGGCCGAATGCTTTGCTCGTACATTCTCATCCAATTCAACGCTCGACTATCAGTCTCCTACTCTTCGGCAAAGTCTTTGAAACTTTAATGAACGCCGAAGTGGTTAAGCACCTTACATCCCATGATCTGCTCTCTGACAAACAATATAGTTTCCGCTTTGCCCGCTCTACAGCTGATGTGCTCACGGCCATAACTGAATTTGTTTACCAAGCACTTCACAATAACTGAGAAGCCCGTTCCGTGGCTCTAGATATCTCTAAAGCGTTTGATAGGGTTTGGTATGCTGCCCTCCTTCGTAAGCTTCAGTGATACGGTATGTCAGGACGATGATTTGACGATACAATCATTCTTGTCAAACAGTGTAATAAAGGTTGTCCTTAACGGATTCTCCACCAGTTCCTTTCTCTCGAACGCAGGTGTTTCTCCAAAGCGCTATCCTGGGTCCTACACTGTTCCTTATTTTCATTAACGATCTTCCTAATGTTATCAGTTCCCAAGTAGGCATCTATGCAGACGACACCACTATTTACTTCTGCCTAAATAGCAAATCTTGTATGGCTGACATATATTTGTTTATGCATGTTTTTGGACTGGATCGAGGTCAATCCCAGCGTGCGGTACCTTTGGAAAGTGCCTGAAAATCATGCCACGCGTTGACCCAAGCCTTGTGAGTGAAATTGGGTAGGTAGAACTCTTGTAGGCCGTTGATAGCTGTACTAATACGTAGGCACAAATCACCGTGGCCAAGGGCTTGAATGTGCCGGTTTTTGTTCAAATTGTTGATCACGCTAGATAACACGCTCGTCGGCTCAGTATAGTTGCAGTATAAACCACAGGTGGGCTCTGGGTGTTGAGCAAACACAAGTGTGTCTGAGCGAGCGTCTTTAATAGCAGACGGGTGTCCTTGAATAGAAATGGCCAGGTATTATATATATATTTTTGTGTGTAAAATATTTTCTCATTAGTATTTATTGATGCTTGCCTAAAACAGCTTCTCCACCTTCCTTGGTTTCTGACCTGCGCCTATCACCCCAACCACCTAGCGAAACTAATTCCAAGTTCGTTAAAGAATTCTTACCTTGCTACCAATGTTGGTTTTTCTAGGTCTCAGATTTGAACAAAAAACAGATTGCCTTTTCCAAGAGAAAATTATCTTTACAATATGTCTTGTTTTTCATTCTTATCCGATTCTATACACCTATTGTCTCGCGGCTAACATCATGGCGGTCATTCAACAAAATATGAAAATACTGCCATGTGTTTCTCTTATAAAAATTAAGTCAAGAAATTATTTTCAAACCTGTCGCTTCTGCGGAGAAATTCTCCAAGTCAGTTTCGTATTTGTTTGCCTTCTGAAATCGGACAAGGACCACATAGCTCCCTCGTGTTATTCGGCTCGCGTTTACCTACTCCCTAAGTAAACCTTATCTCCAAATTATTTCAAATTTTATCCGACTCGCTTCACCTTGGTTCCATGGATAACGCTCTTAGCGGGCGTTATTAATCAGTCGTCAGCATATCGCCCGTCGTAAAAAATTAGGTGTTGCTCTCAGTTTGTCGTCTGGTTCATTTTAGAATTTTCGATTTTCTAAGTACGTGATAGGTTTATCAGTATATCGTTCTTGCTATTCAAGAACCTTATGTATATTTACCAGCAACCAAAATAGTGACACATCGGAAGGGAGGACCACCAAGACAGGTTTTGGGTGGTCAGTGTTTTAAAGGACTTTACTTTTATGGCTATCTAAAAACACTAGCAAAACTTTATTTGATTATTTAGAGGTCGGCCGGAGATAGGATTACTGAAAAATCCTGGTCATTAAATTTATTCAATGATGGGCTGGAAACAAGATTCCTGACAAACCCTGGTCATTAAATAGATGTTTTTCCCTTTTAAATCACTTTATTCATCTAAGGGTTTATTAAAAATCGTTTTGCTACAGTAAGATTGATTGTGCTTTCTAGCTTTAGATAGCAACCAGAAGAGAAAACTCTGAATTCGTGGAGAAAGCAGCAGGAAATCTTCTCCAAGAATATGTGGCAATTCACATTTATCGTATACGTCTTGAAGGGAAATGACATTTTAAAAAATACTTATGTGGCGGGGGCGATATCAACCCTGAAATTAAAGGAGAATATGCTGTAAAACAGAAAACACCAAGTAAAGAGAGGCGTTTTCAAATAACCAAGATGTTAAAATGCTGTAAAAACTTTGAAATGTAAATGTTACAGAAAGTTAATTTAGAACACGAAATGCAATCCTTTTGTAAGTGTACAAAGGAAATCAGATTACTAATAGAAAATTACTAGATTATTTGGAACTTTAAGAAAAAGAAATGGATTTTGACACTATAGGAATCGAAGTTAAAATAAAGGATGTTTTGATTTAGATTTTAGTTTTGAAACAAGACACTCCGTAGTTTACAAAAAGCGGTAGAGTGGTTGATAGCGAGGTGATAAATAGTAGTCTTGTTGTGGACCTTGTAAGGAGGCGAGCCAACCGGAAGATAGTTTCGGGTGTGTCTGTCTTCGAATGTAGTCGAACTGAGTGGAGTGACGTCAGAGATTGAAAAGAAAGCGTCCTTTGTGTGTTGCTGAGCTGAGGTTGAGGAAGCGAAATACCGCCACTAACATCTAAGTACCGCTACTCCTGCTACTAATATTACTACTATTACTATTGCGACTACTGAGAACAGGAACATCCAAGGAAGTTGTAGTTGCCCTAAGATCAAACCAAAAAGAAAAAAAAAACGAAGGCCACATTTCTCCTTACCGAAATTATTCGAAGTATTTGTTTTGTT